TGCAAAACAATTTGTTGATCAATTTCCTTATGTAAATTAGATTTCTTCTTTTTATTTATTTATAACTTTAAATACAAACAACAAAAAAATCTACTATTTTTAAGATAATTAAACAATATGGAATATATTTTCAATCAAATCCAATAATGCATAGTGATCCCGCTAATCCACAGATCATACATGATCGTTTAAGAGAATTAAAAGAAAATAATTGTGAAGTTGTTCTATTTATTTTGAATGGTGTAGGAGAAGATACTTATAAATCAATTAAATATTTTGGAAATCAAAAACTTGGTATTGTAACACAGTAAGAAAATTTATTCTTTTTCCAAATTTAAATTCTTATTGAAAAATATGTTTTTTATCATTTTAGATGTACAGATTTTGTTGCTATTGCAAAAAATATTAGAAATAAAAAACTCGATATGGTAAGAATAAAACTAATACAGTTTGAAGAAAAAGAAAGAAATCAAGTTCGATATATGAAATGTATTGAGTGTATTTACTCTGTCAACATTTGAGATATAAAAAAACGTCACTTAACATTTTCCTTCCCTTAGAAAATATTGAAAAAAAGAATAATCAAAGATAAGTTTTTATCCTAATACACATATATTCCATAGTATTTAATATATATATATATATACTTTTAGTATTTACAAAATCTTGTACAAAAATTTAATGCTAAACTCGGTGGTATTAATGGAATGGTATCTTTAGCTCGAGCATTAACATCATCTTCAACAAGAGATGATGTATTTATGTTTTTCGGTGCTGATGTAACACATACAACATGTTCAAGAGATAAACCATCAATAGCAGCTGTTATTGGTTCAGTTGATTCTACAAGTTTGTTGATTTTTTATTATGAAATAAAATTTAAAGAAAAAAAAAGAATGAATAATATTTCTTTTTAGGTACACAATATGCATCACGTGTTGGTGAACAATATCCTGCACGAGGAAAAATTTCATTAGAAATTATAAAAGATTTATATCAAATGTCAACAGATTTATTAAAATTATTTGCACAAAGAAATGGATGTTTCCCTAATAAAATTGTGTTTTATCGTGATGGTAAAAGATTTGTTATTTTATCAAAAAAAAACAACAAAAAAAATTAATATTTTTGTTTTCATTTTATTTATCTATTTAGGAGTCGATGATGGTCATTTTCAAAAAGTACTTGACCATGAAATACGAGCTTTGCAAAATGCTTGTAAAGGTATTTTATTTTATTTTTTCTTTATTCTTCCTAATACATTCGCACCAATATGATCTACTGTGGGTCATAAAATGGTGTTGTAGTGAAAAATTTCAGAAAGATATGCTGCTGGAACTTTAGTATTTTGATCCTCGTATTATTCTTTTTTTCGTTAAATTAAGATACTTTTATTTAGGATTAAAATCACATATCATCAATGAATGAGTTATCGAAAATTAATTTGATAAAATATTCGTTGATATCGAAATTAAAAGTTTCAAAAGTGACGCAATTCATTTTGCAGGTTTGTTTTCTATAGAAATTAAGAAAATTGACAAGGTATACATTACCAAAATACTCACGTTCTATATATAATAATGTTTAGTGTCTGCGTGTGTGTGCCCATGCCGGATCAAAAGTCAAATAAGACTATAAGGAGGAGAGTCCCAAGGACATTAAATCAACTACTCTTAGGCCATCAAGGGCTATTATACGAGGGCAGCCGTTGGCCCTCAAGGGCTATCCTATGGGGGTACCCATAGGCCCTGAATGGAGTAAGGCAATAAGGGGATAATGCTACAAGAGCTACAAGGGGATATAAGTCTATAAGCCCGAAGGCTAATGAAGTATAAAAATATGTGTCATATAAGAGTATGAGGTGAGAGGCTATCTATATATACAATGTGGAGTGTCTATATGGCTCTTACTGCGTGAAAGGTTAAAGTTTTGAGATCATATATTAAAGGAGACAACAACCGTGCAGTATGCACGGGTTCACGCTAGTTTGAAATAATTCTGGCTTTTTATTTTTAATAAGTTTTGACGCGCTAAAAACTCGACCAAACTCAATTCTTAGTATCTTTAATGTCGTTATTACCCACACTCATCTTTCAACAAATATTTAAATTAAAAACTAATTTAACTAAAATTATAGTATGGCTCATTTGAGATCTCTTTTTAAAAAGCTACTAAATCATGTATTTTTTAAAGTCCAAAGAATCTGGCCACTTATAACAATCCTCAATACACTAATTCAGAATATCGTATTAGTTTTCATTCATATTGAACTTTTTCTGATCGAAATTCTTTCAACTTTAGAAACTATATAGATCTTTAATTTGTTGAAAATTCGAAGCAAATAATAAATACAGTACATATGTTAATAGTTTTTACCAATGTATCAAATTGATAAATTTATTATTATTTGTATGGTTTGCTTATTCTGAAATTGCATCTTTTAGATAACAAAATTTAATCGGAACCTTAAGAAATTAGTATCGAAATGTTAGTCTTAACATACTTTTTCTGTTGATATATGACTCAATGAAATAGGCTAAGAATAATACTAGTAGACCGTTTCGACTACTGAAGCGTTCTCATCCTTTCTGTTGTAAGAGGCTAGTCCACTTCCAATGATTTTTCATTCTCAATAAAATTCAACTTTTATTTCTCTTTATATTTTGACTTCTATCACCTGCAAAAATAACATTTTTAGCAACTCTGTAGAATTCAGTCACGTCCAATGTGCTAATTTTATTATTATTTTATTTTTGTAGCACTTTATATGAACAATCCATTACCAAAAATAACATTTATTATTGTTAAAAAACGTCATAATACAAGATTTTTTGTTCGAGATCCTACTACAGGAAACTTTAGTAATGTTCAACCAGGTAAATTTTATTTCAATACTAACTCAATAAATTTTATCTTTTCTTTATTTTTTGTTTTCTTTAATTAGGTACCATTGTTGATACTGATATTGTTCATCCACAAGGTTTTGATTTTTATTTAAATAGTCATGCAGCTATTCAGGGTAAATTTCAATATCGAAATAAAACAGACAAAAAAACGACATTCTCGAAAATTTATTTTTCTTAAGGAACATCACGACCAATTTTATATCATGTTTTATATGATGAAATTGGTTTTTCATCCGATGAAATACAATCTCTAACATATTATCTTTGTCATTCGGATGTTCGTTGTACAAAAGCTGTATCAATACCAGCACCTGTTCATTATGCACATTTAGCTGCATATCAATCACGTGAAGCTGATAGTTATGAAAATGATCGAAGGAGTACGACTGGAGGGTAAGAGTTGTTTCTTTTTTTCATCAATACAAAAGAAAAATGAAATATTTTATTTATAGAGATTTTGACGATGACGATTTGATAGAAACTACGAGCTCAATAACATTACAAGAAGTAGAAACAAGACTTATTCAACTTGATCCGTCTATTCAAGATACAATGTGGTATGTGTGAAGACAACAGTGATATTTAATATTTTATGGAAATAAACAAAAAAAAAGAAAAATACTTTGGTGATAAATAAATAAAGTTTATTATTATATTTTATTAAATGTTGTGATGCTTTTCATCGGTTTTTAAATAAACAAAGTATTTCGGTGTTTTTTTAAAGACTTTCTTATTAATGTTTATCGGACAATTCAAACAATAGAGTATAATTGTATATTTATTTCTCTATTTGGAATAACCATCAAGAACAAGAGTAATAAATAAAATTTCTTAAATTATTATCGACGCTAATAAACATGATACCCCTTGAATAACCTTCTATAAGAGCATGATGGGGATCTGTGAAATTCATCGAGCACCATTAATTCAGCATAAAAGGGTAGGGCAGATCAGGTCATTTTTCTGTCTCCAATTAAATTTACTTTTTTCTACTAATTTGTAATAGGGCTTGATGTTTGAGGGTATTCTACACATTAGTTTTGAACACCTAATCAAAAGATTTTTGGGACCTCTGATCTCCTGGGAAGATCTCTAGAGAAATTTTTATCTTTGATTTCGTTGAAACATATATAACTTAGTAGAGTCAAATGTACTGATTACAAATATTAATTTATTGTGTAGCCAGGACTTTTTGATTTACAACTAGAATAGATCTTCGTGAGATCCTTCTTGGGTCTTATATCCCGATTTATCACCACATATCTTCTACATGGATTATTCTAAAGTCGTGAAATAAGACTTTTAATCACTAAAATAACGTAGTTTACTTGAAAATGGAATATAAACGTTCGTTAACATAATAATCGGCTGTGAAAATTCAGATTGTCAGTGCAAGCTGTACAAAAACTAATGCGTGGAATAGCATCGCATATCGTGTCTCATTGCGTATTGATAAAAAAAAGTCAATTTGGTTGGGAGTAGACAAATAACTCTATCTAATTTACCCCTTCGTTTTACTATTCATATGGGACTACTGTTCAATATTGTTTATTGCTACGACTGATTATTGCAAATTGGTTCCTACATTTAATAGAATCATGCAGCTGTTTTATCTCAACCAAGGGCTCGAAGATAATTTTAGTGAAACAAGAATATATAAAAATTGTTATAATTTTCTTTACATACAATAATTTCGAGAAACATAAAAGATCAGTATTCCCACTGCTAAGTTATTGAGCAACATCATTAATCAATTCCTTCATAATATATTTTATAAAGACTGAAAAACACATAAAGTGTCGTTCGATTCAATATTTTCTCGATTAAACAAATTTTAAAATCACGATAACCGTCAAGAAGTTCTTTTTTCATCAATGAGCGTTGAAAATAAGCAGCAAGAAAAATAATTTAAGCTAATTTGTAAATTTCAATATCAGATGTTGTAAAATTTTTAGTTCCGGTGAATGTATTATAACCTTTTCGAGTTGTGTCGATGTATGACGCAGGAAAATCAATGTAGCTTGAATTGTTCGAATTGCTATCATTTTTCACGCAGAAATCGTGACCGATTCCGAATGATGGACTATCATCACTTTAATGATAAACTGCTTTTACAGTCTTATTAGGATCGATGAGGTATTTAGACGGTGGAATCTCGTGAGGATTGATCAAAGTGAACAAAAATGTTGTGCTATCATCTGCATATGAATCATTCGAAGTCCATGGTATAGCTGTATAACTTCCAAAAAGATAGTTGCTATTTGATTGAATAATTATCATTGTTGGTCCTTTATTATTACAACGTGAATGAAATGCATTTGCATCAACTCCATCACGTGAAGCTTAATAAATCAATTCCCATCGTTGATTAGTCTTACTATAGAATTCATTTAGTTTCATCTTATGTTTTGGGTGAAGCAATGTTCCATTCGGAAAACAAATATTCGTTAATATACTGATCAGACCATGTAAATGAAAATATTCGGCTTCTGTAAGAAGAAGTTCACAAAGTGAATCGTTATTCAATATGTCACTTGATAGTTTATTGGTTCTTAAATATGCTAGTATATGATTGAACAATTTTCCATCACGATCAATAAATATACTTTTATCATCAGGATCTCTTTTGAGTTGCCATTGTTTAGAGAAGAGTGCAGTGAAAAATGTATTTTTTCAATTGTCAATGTCTCAACACTTGTAGAAAATTTATCACCTCCAACATCAAGTATAACTTTGCCTTGAATTGATGTTGTTGCTAATTTAACTTTGATATCATTCCATTCTTTTTCTTCATTTGATGCATTAACTAATTTGTTTTCTAAGACGGTAGTCATTTCAGCTTCTTGGCGCTATAAGTTTTTTGCAGATTTAATACAATCACTACATTGATTTAATTTCGAAATGACCTCCTCGCGTAACGTATCGAGACGAGTTTCTAGCTGATTGATGTCTTCTTGAAGAGTGTTTAAATTGGAACCTGTTGTACTCACATGCTCAACCATAGTTAGTTTTGGAGTGTTACGTTTTTGCTTCTTCCTGCTTGCATGATTGAAGCCGACTGAAAACTCACGTGTATTCTTAATATTATGTTATCAAATATTGCGATTTATGTTGTTAAAAGAAGGCATCTGGTCTTAATACTATGAGAGAGAAGGTTTTTGTTGACTGATAATATGTCAATATTTACCTGCGTCGCTTGTTTTTACTTGTATTGTCAAGAATTCATGTATTCTCACAATCTTCTTTTTGTCTATTGAAAAAATCCAGTCCATGTATCGTTCATCTTGGAAATTCTCCATTTACTCTTTCGGTTACTGTGTAATGCATATGAATGGAATATTCATCATTGATAGTTTTTCTTTTTTATATCACATTTAAGATTGATTTTAAATAAAATGCTTTAGATATTGACAGATATGTATTTTCTCGGATGATTAATGTATAAACAGCATGAAAAACCGTTCAACATTTTTTCTATTCTTTTAGTCAATTCTTATCTGTTGAGAATTAAAGAAAGGACTGCTAAGCTTACTTTAAGAATGCCAATATTAAAGTTCATTGACTTATACTTATGACACAGTTATTGACAATGTTGCAATCACATCATTTCGTACTAAACATTTTTCATAAACGAGATAAAAGAAATAAAGTAAATAATATGTTTTATACAAAGGCATTTACAAATAAAAAAAACGATTTAGAAATGAGAATACTTTACATAATTGTTCAATATTATTCTAAAGTAATAATATTCAATCTATAAGATTTCTTCGTATTTTTTGTCACAGAAATGATCAGCATCAGTCAGTTATAAATTGATTTTATTCCAAAATATTTAAAAAGAAAGATAAATTTATTATGATATCAAAGTAAAATATGCTTGAAATGTTTTAAATGATTTATGATGAATCGTTTGACAAATCAACAGTACTCTTGCGTTCAAAATCGTAAAATCATGTGTCTGAGAAAGGTTCTTTATTTCGATGTTGACTGATATAGATTTTATTCGACTATGCTTCAGTTGAATATTGATTCAATTTTTTTAAAAATCTGTTCACAAGTTAAAAAAGGTAAATATTTACAGGGTATCCCAAAATCATATCACTATCACATACATTTGTATTTGTGCATGAGCTTTTCTTTTCAAGATATCATCTTATTGATATGTCATTTATATTTTAATATAGACATAGCTCTATAAAATCTCTTCCTATTATTCATCACTTTCGACTATGGATTTTCTGATAGAAACGAAGAACTTACTGTTCCAAAGTTATAGTACGTCTGATCGAAGGACTATAATGTATAAGACCAGATTATTGGTTTACTGAATTTTTTCCTTCAAGTATTCCTCTAAGACGATAAAATTCATGATGCAAACATTCTGACACTGTTTTCGTTGTACTTTACATATACTTCTATTATTATGATATGCATTTTTTTTTCAGTTATGCCATTTATATATCATTTCGAAGGTCTCATAAAGATCTGACTATGGTAAAAGAAATTCAAAAACAGATATTATTTGATCCTTAAAGCAGAAGCTTTGATTATGTATCTGTTACGCGTCTGATCAATATATCAAGTATCAATTGACTCGATAACTTTATTGCACTTTATTATGTTATATCATTGTAAAGATCATATTGAAGCCTAGCTGTGAAAAAAAAGCCATGAACAACTATTTGCCTAGCGTTCAGATCTATACGAAATAATAAGCCAAGAGAATTCCGTATATTGAAGCATAAGATTAAGAGATGCCCTATATATCTCGAATTTCTGTTAAGATTTTTAGTTGATAACTTCGCAATAGATTCCAATTGCCAGAGCTATTGGTCAGCATTGAACGTATGCATAATTGACATGGGGTCTCAATCGAGCTCCATCGCAATAAAAGTCATTTCATATGGCATCACTGAAAAACATACTGCATGTTATAATAGTAAAGATTTATGTATAATACAATCAAAATAGTGTTAGGATTTTCACGATGATAAACTTTGTCATCTTATATAAACCATTGAAAGTAAAATGTCGATAGGCTAATATTAGTTCTCATAAACCTTCGCTCTTTGATTTTCGCCTAACCAAAATGATAAGATTACGATTGTTATTTCATTATTAGTGAATCAGAGAGACATTAGTTTTTAAAATAATTTTTATTTGAATTTAAAATGTAGTTTTCTTTGATAAATCAAACATGACTTGAAAATATCGTTTAAGTTCAGTAACACATGGCTGAAAAATTTGAAATACAAACAGGATTGATCTTTTTTTGGCAACGAGTTCGAATTTATTACAGTTATAGACATAATTTAAAAAAATTTCTGTATTTCTGACACACAGATGGAACGGAATTTGAACGTTTTGTTTTTATTTATTATGAAAATAAACGCATATCCACAATATATTATTTTGTAACCATATCTATGATCTTAACAAAGAGCTCGGAAGCATCTGAGTTTGCAGTCGAAAATATTTTATATTCATATTTGTTGTACAAGAATCAATCCTACTTTTATTTCAAATGTCTTAGCCATGATATAGAGCTTAAACGACGTTGTCAAGTTGTTTTGACATTTTTTAAACGCGATGTCGTTTTAAATTCAAATAAAGATTATTTTACAAAATCTTTTCTATGAAAATATTCAAAAGAAGTTGTCTATGTAACTTTGAAGGAAAAAGAACATCTCTCTGGTTCATTAATAACGAAATAGTAATTGTGACTATATAATTTTGACCAGAAAAAAACGAAAAGTTTTTAAAAATATTTATTTTCTTCAACTGATGCTAATATATCTTCTCAAATGTAAAACATTGATGTCGTACTATGGTATTTACTCTATCGAAATTTTCTTTAAAAAGAATAGAGTAACAATCTCAAGTTATATGAAATTCATAAGAAGATATTTTCATTCTAAAATTAAACAATTCGATTTAATATCATATAAAGAATAATAAAAATTTACTATCGATGTCATGAATTTTATTTAATAGTACAAATGCTTTACTCTTGTATTGAATCGATTCTAAGTAATCTTTTATACAGAAAACTAATTGCAAGAAAATAATTCCATTTAATTTTCGAACATTTTTTCTTTAAAGAAGGTTGATAAATATCTCTTTGTTGTGATAATAAGACTGTGTGGTAAGAGAAAATAATTATCTATTTACACTTGGCTATTATGTGTTTAAAGTATTGATACATGCGATTGATTCTGATATCGATATTGTTGCTTATAAAACATCTAAAGAAAAGTTTATCATCAATATAATATTTTATAGAAATGTTAAATCGTATAACGTGATAATTATATTTATGAATTCAAAACCATTTATAATTTTCATTGGAATTTCTACCTCAATTTGTACTTCAATTATGAAAATTCGTCATGAATGATTGTGTAAGAACGAGCAATAAAGTGTCACTCATTTCAAGGAACAGTATTTGCAATTGTTTGATCGATTTTCTTGTTAGATCATTGACATGCAAATATTATGATCATGTCAAAATCTAATTTAAACTCAAAAATTTTATTTGATCTTATTTAAAGTATGTGTTACTATAATGATTACATTGAGTATAATCACTATTGAAGAGATTCTCCAACGCTCCAGAAATTCCCAGTTCAAGAAACATGCGGTACTTTAAGGAAAGTGTGTGAGCTCGAGAAATTCAAGAAATGAGTGTGGATATAATTCTAGGTCTTGGATTTTAGGGTGGGTAACGGCGAGCATAAGACCTATCTTCACACTCAATACTAACCGAAAGTCTTCCATCATTCACATCCACATCCTCAATTTCATAAAGTACTTTGCCAATCACTCGTCAGTAACAGTTAATGTGACACTTGCAGTTGAATATAATACTCATTTAACACTCAACTACTTGATGCTGCTTGTTTCATAATCGGTGTGCATAACAATCTCTTTTGAATTTGAGGTTGACTAAACTCTGAGTTTCTGCTTATTTATCGTCTCTAGTGCATACAAACAAGATATTTTGTGTGGTGTCATGTCAATGTTTATAGATTTAAACTAATATTTACATGTCATTAACAAGTTTCTCTAATACTAAGAAAGTGGCTTGTTTTTCACGAAAAAAAGCATCAGACGGAATCTTGATTTGAATAATTTATACGTGCGCTTTTCTATAAAATACGGACACATGCATGCATATACAATTGCTTCGAAACATACAATGATATTCTCAGTTATTTTGGTCTTTGCTATGATTTCGGTAAAGAGTGGCTTTACACAATCTTCTAATGGTACTTCAGTGGTAAAGATACCCAGAATGGTGGATAATAGCCAACTTTTCCCCGAATATTTTTTCTACCAGTCAGAACATTACACAAGTTTTTCGACTCCGTCACACATCTATCTGAAAGTACCAGGCTTAACTTTCCCCGTTCATCACACAAAACCAGCAATTTATGAATTGAAATTCCAGGTAGCATGCAGCAAAGAAAAGTTGTGGACGGGCTCTTTTCAACACTTCATGATCGATGGTCTTATACTCATATATAATCATCTCCTACCGAATAATGACCGACGGTAAGCGGTAGCACCGGAGCTAGGAACGAATCTTCATGTCGTGGATGCACGAGGTGGAGTGCTTCTCGAAACTAGAGGTGTGAATGCATACTATTATTCAAGTTGCAATAAATCAGACATTGTTCATCTTCCACCTGGTATTCATGTAGTGGACGTAGTAGTACGCCCAGAGTTCAAAATGAAAGTGATCGGCGGTGAGCTGTCGATGAAATTGATACAGTATCCATCAGCTTCAAATATAAATCTCGACTCACCCATCAAAAAATAGCGTGTATTT